CTCCTGCACTACTCCATAATCAAAGCAAGTGGCCGATCCTTGTGCGCATGACAACTCTCTTCCCTAAGGCCTGTTGCGGAGAAGATTTGACAGCTACAGGACAACTTAGGTGACTTAGTCTGCAGCCACCTGCTCACGCTAGTTCCTCGCTTCTGGAATTTTATACTCTGAAGATGGAGGCAATACATTACTCCAAAACATCGGTTTACACTATATCTATACAGTGCCACATCCCACAAGACGGCATTCTTCACGAGTGACATTCGTTACATACCAAGACACTATATGGGAGGGGGGGTAGTAAAGTTATCCCTCTAACAGACTGTGGAGGTCCATAGAGTTGTGTGACAATGTGGCTCCCATATTTTCAAGACAATTGGCTCACAGATGTCAGTGAGGTTGTCAGCCTAATGTGCCAAGATATCCCTATAACAGATCGCGGAGACCCATAGGGTTGCGAGACATTAAAGCTCCCACATTTTCTAGACCATTGGCTCATCGATGGCGGCGAGGTTGTCAGCCTCACACACACCGGCCGCTCTTTACCCCCCATGAAAATTCCTGGTATTCATTTTTGTTAAGAGGATGAGTCGACCCCAGGGCCATAGTGCAGCTGGCAGGATCAGGTCAATTGAAAAAAATCAATGATCTCATCGGGACTTGAACCCACGACCTTCCAACTTGTAACACAGTGCCTCAACCAACTATCATACCACTACTAATATTAAACAGTAATGATTAATGTCTTTCTACTAAAACCCCTAACAAAACTGCAGTATATGATTAAATATGATGTACCATTTATGAAATTTATGAAATATTATATGCAACAATTAAAACCAATACTAAAGTGTCAATATCTCTTAATTTGAATAGGCCTATGCTGTACATAAAGAATCTGCTAATGACTCACCAGTCTCAACTTCATTCCAAGCTCCACGTTTGCCTTCTTCTTCCTGACGTTTCTTCTCTTCAGTCATTTCCCTCATCCTGCAATGTAAATTTTGTATGAGATTAGCAGAACGCAACTGCGCAGTCCAAAAATTACCAAAATTACCAAGCAAGAAACCAGCGCTGGCAGGTAACAAAGCCAAGCTTCCTACCTGCTTCATGCTGGCTTCTTGTTTCATTTATTCTTTGACTCTGAAGATTCAGGTGACATGTTCCCCGGAAATTCAGATGATACCCCAGAAGACAGAATTCTTCTGACTATACTGATCATCTTGAAACTTCTTTGCCATAATATCTTTTTAATATCATAGTATGCTTTAAAGTTACGGATCCATTAGAAACATACTCTCACTCTGCCAAGCAATGTACACCTGCCAAAGTAATTCTGAGTTTGCAGTGAGAATACTGTTACAATTAACATTCAATTCACTTTGCAATGAATAAAATTACAAGAACTATTGGTTTTTCATTTAGTCATGTTCTGAGCTATTTACTCATCCTTATTTCAATTTCACATATAATTCCTAGTAGCATCTTTCCTACCCTTGTATCATGCACATGGCACAGGGAGAAAAAAGAAATAAAAGATGGGGAGGGGGGGAAACTGGATTTGAGATTCTTGTAGAGGAGATTAAGAAAGGCACTATCTTCTGGGAAGTAACATCCTGTAAGTCCACTGCCATTCCTTCAAAATGCTTATGGACCTTATCACATTATACAGCATTTCATTCCAGAAGGTACCATGTGCCAAGAAGAAGAAAAAGGTTCTACCATCTCAACTATCACATTCTTATTGTATAACGAGTGCTTTCATTCCTAGGATTTCTGTTGGATGTTTCCAGTTAAGTAATTTATTTATCCATTATCATGGAATTCAACTGTAATTAAAATATATTCTAATTCTGTTGCAGCTGCAGTAAATAACTGTAGATGGGCAATGGACTGCATCTATTCTTGACACATGCTAAATCAAAGTGCCTTACCAAGTGTTCATGTATCTGCAGATGGTTATTTTGCACTCACAAGTAGTTCCTGAGCATCCTCATCCCTGTTGCCAGCCAGACCATAAATGGGGACATCACCCAACGTACGGCAGAATTCTGCGGTAGCATTCAGCACAATGGAACCACGTTCCGAGTTTCTCTCCAGTACTGACTCTGCCACCTACAAACATCACAAATCACAAACAGTTAAATTATGTAGCTATACAGCATTCTGTTTTGAAGTATCCATAAATGGAAAGCTGTCCCTGTGCTTAATTGGTTATGCTCTAGATGGAGGTGAGTGGCCAGTTCCATGCCACTCCCACACCCGGGGAAACAACCCCAAGTGTCTATTTGACAAGAGGCCATAAAAGGTCTCAATAACCAAAATACACGAAAGGATGATAGTATATAAAAGGTAGAGCTCTGCCTGTAATAGGCCGTGGAGGCCCACTGGGGTGCGAGACGTTGAGACTCCCATACCTTCTTGACAATAAGCTCACAGATGGCAGTGAGGTTGTCAGCCTTACATGCCGGCCACCCTTTACCCCCCAAGAATATTCCTGGTACTTATTTCTGTTAAAGGGTGAGTTGACCCCAGGGTCATAGTGTGACTGGATGGATTCGGTCAATCTAAAAATCCAATTACCTAACTGGGAATCGAACCCATGACCTTTCAGTTTGTAGCACAGTAAGAAAGGATGATGATATTACTTAAATGTGAAGATATGATTTACTGGTTTGAGGTCCACCACAACAAACTGTGAGAGAAACAATTTAATAGCCCTCAGGTTAAATTACAATATAGTTTCTCTAGGGTACAATGGTTTTGTAAAGTAACCAAGGAGGAAACATCATAATGAATTTTACTACAAGGTTCTGTGCAACATCTTATAACTGGAACATATGGAGATACTGTGTAGGAACTAAACATGGCATAGGATTCTGTAGCTACGGACAATTTCATCACCTCTCCCCATCTATCCATAGGGCTGCTCCTCTCTTGTCTCAGGGAGAAAAGCAGAGAGGCAGGTAAGGGGAAGATGGCCCTGACTGAACAAGAGAAATGACCCTTACTACAGCCAGACATTTGTGAGAAGGATTAAAAAGGAAATCTGCCGATGTTATGTACCTTTTCTACGTTGTTCTTTGATTCTGCAACAGCCTCCTGCAGCTTCAGTCTCCATGCTTTCTTGATGACCGTCTGTAGGTCCAGTTCGCTGTCATCGGGCTCAATCTTGATGTTGGACAGAATCTCTTCTGGTGCTGAAAGGTGTCCAATTATTAATAACATTCAAAACTGCTCCTGCACCACATTTCCTTTCATGATTTCACAACACACTTCGTAGCGGAAATTATATAGTACCAAATGGCTGATGATTAGTAAATAATGTATTCAAAAGTCTTGGTGCTTGTCACCTGGTTAGGGATACTAAGTCCTATCAACATTTGCCTGGTGGTACTGTGAAAAACCATGAAAAAAACCTAAGTCAAATTAGCCAGATGTTCCAGCGTAGATTCATGAACACAAGAACGTAGTTCCGGCCCACCCCCCCCCCCTCCCCCCCTTTTTTTTTTTTTTAGTTCGAACTGTGAAAGTAACGTGAGTCTGTACTTACGATACGATTGGGCGTGTTTATCTCTTCTTGTAGCAGTTCAACAATTTTTTGTGCTGATCTGAGTTCTATTTTAAATTTATGACAACAAGCACTCGTTACTTCACTTGTTTAACTACTATCATTGATGAAAACTTGAATGTCATCACCGTCATCACTATTATCACTTAACGAACTGCCATTTTGGATATCACGAACGATCACTAATTCACTAAGAGTTGGTTATGATCGGTAATGTTCGATGGATCGATGGTGATCGATCTCAGGAATTTCATATGCAGCTCCTAATAATTTTGTAGAAACACCAGAATTATTCAACTTATAAAATAATTTATACTCAACTTCACACAGCTCTCGTGTGCTGAGTTCCATTAATCTACAATAACAAGAACAGAATTAATTTTGTACTTTGATCAAAGATAATGCAATATTTGTAAATTTTAAACTAGATCGATAGCTCAGTCGGTATAGCGACAGGCTACATGCTGAATGATTCTGGGCTTCCTCGGTTTGCAGCCCATCACCACATTCGTATTCGGCCGTGGACACGACGTCTTTTTTTTTTTTTAACTGTAAGGAGAAAAGTAGCTACAAGAGAGGCCTAGGCAGTGCCCATCCGGCCGTGACACAATGTCTGAGAATTATGCAGTTGTTCTGCCATCTACAGGATAATAGGGAAATCAGTCATATTAATGTGTTAGTAGATGTCGCCAATAGGTGATCTATCTGTGTGCATATAAAGGTTTGATTGGAATGTTTCATATTCAACAGTTAATTCTGGAATTGAAAGTACCGGATAATTATGAATCACTAACTAGTTACTAGGATTAATTCATCAAGAAACTATTATAAAGGCTCTGTCTGCCTCTGTGTGTCCAGAAGTGTCAGTAGTGTGTTAGGGATATCTAAATTCTTAACATCATAGGTAAATTTGTGCGTGTGGCTAGGGACATCTACGACGAGAACATTACTAAACATTCACCATACGAACCAGTTTTTTATTTATTCTGGTTCTCGTAATACCTCTGTATATTATTAATCCGCAATTGCCGTTTAATATTAAGAGCATCATATATCGTTTTGTAGTACGGTGAACACCGATTTATGTTGGTGGTATTGTCTACGACGATCATTGTTCGATCATCGTTGATGTTCAGTGATACCTTGTATCGTGGTCCTCGTGTGGGTTGTAAATGAGCGTAAATGAGAGTGTGGTATTTATAGGTTTGAAGGTATATAAATATATGTGTACTGATAACTGTAATCATAATACTAAATTATTTGATTATTGTGTTTTATGTTATCAAAAATAGTAATTGAGTGGTAACGATACTTATTGTCTAGCCAATGACATTGTGATTTGTATTTTCAGAAGGAAGCTTTCGGTCGCATAGGTTACCTTTCAATTAAGTATAAAAATGGTAAGTATCAACGGTTAATTCATTTTGGATGCAGTCGCTTCTGACTTGACTGGTCGTATGAAGTATATCATGTTTTAAATGTGGTTTTTAGCTCTATCCGGAAGTCGGTAATTTGATATTGGTTCCTACCTGTTTCCTTACAGCCACGTGAAATTAAAGAAATAAAGGACTTTCTGCTAAAAGCAAGAAGAAAAGATGCCAAATGTAAGTACATAGTAATGAATTTTGCATGCCTAGTCAGTATGCTTTTAGTTTATGGTTGTAATGTAACTTTGATATTACGTTCTGTTTTCTTTTTAACCTGTTGCAGAGGTCCTTGCGATCAGAGTAAGTTACTAATTTTGCAGTTGTGATTATTTATGCTGTTGCACTTCCTGCGTTGCTGTGTGTTGTGCAAAATCCCTTATGCATTGTGTAGTTTCACTTTAGATTATTTCCAGGAAAAAATTCAAATCTCAAGTTTTGGATAGTTTTGTAGTGTAACAACGTTGTCATTAACTTAATAGAATTAAGTGGTAGAATGATTTGTGTATATTGAACTCCATTGCAGCTGTGAAGATTAAGAAGAATCCAGAAAATGTGAAATTTAAAGTTCGCTGCTCAAGGTTTCTGTATACACTTGTCATCACAGACAAAGAGAAGGCAGAAAAGTTGAAACAGTCACTACCACCTGGTGAGTATCCATTAGTGTAAATACTTGATTCTTAAGTGATGAAGTGATGGGACGAGTGAGAAGTATTTGATGTATTCACTGTGAAGTTAATTATGATGAAAATAATAATGAATTTCCTTCCACCTGAAGTTGTGGTGACTGGCTTGTTTTTGTGCAGCCCTCTCATGTGGTAGTTTACCATGTATTGTACAGTCGACTACATAATAAGGTACTAACACATCATATACCAGTCTCTTGTTATATGCCCTTCTTATACTTCAAGAGCAGCAAATCAGAAGGTTTTAGAATAATTATATTGTTAATAATCAGGAGTTACGGGAATAGTTGCTATCAGGTAGTGGATATTTTGAGTGATGGACCAAAGAGTATTTCTGTGAAAAACCATTCAGTGACTTTTGTTCCATCAATGCAGAGTGTCATAACAGTCGTCATATGCATACAACTCTAGATACTGACCAACATAATTATTATTACAGTATCAGTAATCTGTATTTATGGGTACATTATGAGATACAATTTTAATAATAACCTGTAATTTACCTGCATCTTAGAACCATCTAGTGAGATAACCAATCAGGAAGAGTGTATTACTCATACTCTGTGATAGTAGTACATTGTCCAGTAGCATACCAGATGCCTCACAAGCTTTTGCATTTGTTGGCATCAGGATTAAACTTGAGTATGCAGTAGGTGCACTCATGTGTCAATTATTATGGGGGTGAATGAATCTTGATAATTTAATCATAAACTACAGTTTGCTTTGGTAAAATTGTGTAAAAGTGATGAACATTAGCAAATTTTATAAGTACCAAATTGGGGAATTTCAAAAATGAGTTTTCTTAACTACTGAAAAGTATTATACAATTCTGTTCTAATCCGAAAGTATAATTATAATTTTTAGTATAGTTAGTACACTGTATGACTTTTAAACCGGGGTTTTTTTTTGGGGGGGGGTTTGTTTTTGCATCTTCAGAATGTTGCTTCATCTGTTCTGAGGATGGGAGCTGTATCTGAGAGACCAAAACTGATGAAGCTATAGAAATAGCAATGAAATAGTGGTTCAAATATATGACAGTTTGTGGTGAAAGTTTGCACCCAGACCGTAAAAGTTGTTGAAGCCCTTTATAATGAGATTTATAACAGGGAAAATTTGATGATGTAATAAGTACTCCTTATAGGCAGTTTAGAACCTGGAACGTAATTACTCCAGAAGTGAAAAACATCATTTGGAGTTGCAAAAACTTAAATGAAAATATGTTTTTTTAATGGCATTAATAGCTGTTGACCACCTCTGATCTAGTGGTCAGAGTTCCTGGCCACAGATCCAGAGGTCCCGGGCTCAAGCCCTGGCACTACCAGATTTTACGAGAAGTAGTGGGTCTGAAACAGGGCCCACTCAGACTTGTAAGAATAATTAAGGAGCTATTTCAAGGAAATAGGGGCTCTGGTCTAGAATAATTGCCATGGGGGCAATGCGACACCCTCTATCTGCAAAAGTTGACACTAACTTTGCTAACAAGCGGCGGTCACTTGGTCGGTGCAATTTGCTTGCAGACTACAGCCCATAGAGTTTTAGTTTTCATTAATAGCTGTTGCATAATGCTTGAAGTATATGTGAATCCCGCTGTCAGAATTGAGACCATTATGTGAAAGAAAGGGATTAATGTTTAAATAACAGTGGATACTCTTTCTTTGAATACTGTGATAGTGGGAAATTGTCTGTATGGTACCAAACATCAAACAATTAAGGTGCCTGTGTGGCCTTGAACAAGATTGATTATCCTCTCAGAATTAATATAGCCCATGCAGCCTTCTCGCTCTCTCTGTCACAAGGCCAGTGGTACTGTTCTGATCTTCCAGTCTCTGCAGCACTGCTATGTGGGAAATGCTGTATACAGGACTGAGCTTGAGTATTTCTGTATTTTCTCCATGGGAATGCAATTTCTTGAAAAATGATATAATGCAACATGTATTAAATTACTTAGTACTGCTGAAACACAATCTGTGTAAGTACATCTCGCCAGAATATGCTACTGCTGTGGGTTTGCCAGTTTGGTTCCTGTGAGAAGACTTGTATTTTATGAGTCTTTCAGATAACACTGTGCAGGAAATATGGATAGGAGGAGGTGACCTCTTGCCATATATTGTGTCAGTGCCCAGCTCTGGCTGAGCATGGAATTAAGATCTTTGGCTCTGCATGGTTGGAGCCAGTATACATATGCATATTAGTATGGTCACAGTCAAACATGTTCTGGCTGTAGCATTCAGGACAGGGCTCTTTTGAAGGGTCATGATGATAGCAGGGTACACAATGGAGGCAGTACTGGCCTGAATGCTAGATGTACTGAAGACACACTGGATAGTAGGGACCATTTGTGATTGAATGATCATGGAATACACACATGATGAATACTGCAGCATGCTTTTAACCCTTGGTACCTGTAATAGAGAAGGTGGTGCTGGATGGGAGTACACATTATTCTGGTCTGTACTATCTAGGTACATGTTTCAGTGATTGGAGCAGTGCCTCCATTAGACAGGAAATGTAGTGCTCATGGCATATGTGAAGACAAGTTACCCACGGACCATACATGCACAAGCAGGTGAAGGTGGCACAATTGCAGCTGTGCAATGAAACCTGTGGAGAAGCTCATGCAATATTGCACATGAGTTGAGACTGTCCCACCTGAGGCTTCTGAAATTACTTCATGATGATCACGTGTATCCATGCAGTGCATGTGTGTTTCCAGATAATTGACCTCTATGGATGCAATTTTGAAAGTGTCTGTGATGTAACACACTGAGGATGAGCTCTTTTACATGATATCTGTGGCCAGAAAAAGAGCATGTTTTAACACATGATGATGTGTCCAGCATCCACAGCAGTCACCTCTGACCATGAGATAATTCTTGCGCAGTCTGCGAATGTAGGTATCGAGTCTGCTTCAGCATCAGCATTTGGGCTAGAATTGTCAGGGACTTTGTTATGGACCCTCACTTGCTACTTGACTGCTCAGTGGTATCATGATTTCTGGAAAATGCTTTACTGTGGCTGCTTGAAGATTTTGGTGAGGCAGAGGTTGTGGTTAGCATGATGGAGCTCCAGTACACTATGGGGAAGATGTTGAGCTGTGGTTGCATGCAGCATAACCAGGAAGGTGAATTGGACATTGTGGACCGATTGCATGGACTCTTTTGTTTGGTGGAAGTGATTGATTTCATCCTTTTGGGACTCCTGAAGGAACGCATTTATGCATTCCCTCCCAGGACTGTTGAAGATCTCAAAGGCAAGACTTCATGCAGCTGTGACACTGGTTGATACCAGGATGTTAAGGTGTGTTTGAGTGATTGCTGTGCAATGCACTGCCATCTACTTTA